CTCCACTAATTCTACCACATCTTCCCTCCATAATGTTACTAGACCTCCAGAGGCTCCCCAGAAAGGGGCCAATGTCCAACAAATTCCTCTTCATCTCCATACACTTCTCACCCACCTTTTATCTATTTCTGCCAACTTGGTCTCCTATATCAACACTATGTCTGGTTTCTCTCTTCTTAGTAAGTCTATGATGGCCCTTCTTTTTCTTTCACTTCCCAATCCTCTCACATTCCAGCTGATGATTTTCATTGAACACTTCTTTTCAAAAAACCCTTCCCAAAAAATTCCACCTTACACCAGAATCTTTCTTCTTTCCCCTCTCCCACTAAATTCAATATCTGAAATCAATCTCTCCACTTCTGATCTCTTTTTCTTTTTCCTTTTATTATTACCCTCGGCCTTCCTAGATGATGCATTAGTTTTTGCCTCCCCTCCCCCCAACTTAGGACTTCTGTGGTAGTCCTTCTTTTGAGAAATTTCTGCTCTCTCCCTTTGACCTAATTCCTCCTCCTTTACTTTGTACTCCTCCAACAACTCACATATCATCTCCCATATTCTCTCTAATTCCTCCTCTTGTCTCTCTCTAGGGGCCACTCCTTCCTTTCTCAGGACTGCCAATCTTTCTTCTCTTCCCCGCAACTGGAACTTCCGCTTGGAATGCTGGAGTATCTGTTACAAGCACAGAAGGCATTTAGTAACCAAAACTGAATGGACAATCATACCTGTGTTGTTGGGGATCAATGGGCCATCATTCAAGGGATGGGGGTGCGCATAAGGAGAAAGGCCTAAATCTGTTCCTTGAGGTTGATTTTGCCTTAGAGAGTTTATAGTAGGAGTCAATACCCTGTCGTCTTTAACAGTTGAACTATTCTTCCCGTTACAGATCAAAGTGTTAGGATTTTTCCTTACCAACCTCATATCCTGATTTTCCTGAGCTACTGGATTGACTTCCTTTACGAGTGCAGGCAGCACCTGAACCTCATCTTTTGTCAAACGATCCAATACATTCACATCGTCTTCTTCAACTCTTTGAAAATCATCTTCTTCCTTGTTCTCTTGAAAAAGCACCTCTGTACCCAAGCTATCTTCATCAAAAATGTTCCTCGAGCTGTTCAGATCGGTACTCCCTAGGCTCACTATATAGTCTGAATCAGTATCGCTGAACTCTTCCTCCTCAAAGCATTCATGTTGCTTTTGCTCTTCACAATCGCTTCGTCTGACGCTCCTTGGGTTGCGTTTTTCAAGTGACGATCTAATCATTTTTCCTGACACAACTCACTGTAGGGAGTTCCCAGAAGATTCACTCTTCGTTGGTCGTGGTTTTCTGTCGGTTGAGCTCAACGAAGGAGAAGATAGATGGTGTTTACCATCTATCAACTCTAACCCCCTAGTCACGCGACCTTTTAAAATCCCTGTGGTCCCTTTCGATGGGCTGATATTATTCAGCCCAAATAGTGTTTTAACAAAGTGTTCCCCCTACCCCACTCCTGCTTTAGATAGGCCCACAGAGGTTGGCCCACTAATCATTTTATCCCTTCTGTTATTAAGTGGCCCAACTTTTAGAACCGGGGGCCCATCTCTTGAAGAAGGCCCATTTACAATTTTCTGGCCCAGATTGGAAATTGAATGAGCCTTATTTATTTTAAATGGATCCAGCATTTTAGCTCCCCTTCTCACCTTTTCTCAGCCGCACAGACGCATTTAATGAGGTAGCTTGCATGCCATCTGTTACTGCTAACGCATATGATGTCAGGTCTCCATCTACTGCCTTGTTGGTCAAGTTTAAGACTTTCCATCTTCAGCCAAGCTTTCGAATTTTCAAAAGCTTGCTTGCCCTCTTTTGTGTATCTGTATTTTCCTTGTAGCTTGACCAACCCCTTACTGCCACGTAAGGTTTCTTCTTCAACCTGACCATCTTCCTCCCTATGAGCTTCCTTCCACATTTCAGCTTCAATGGAGGAAGTCAGCCAGACCGCCATGAAAGCTCCTTCAACTCTCAGGTTCACTTTCCTGGGAATCTCCTCAGGCTTGACACCATTCAGTAAAATTGCTGCAGACCTTAGATCTCCCCAAAAGACACCAGCCAGTTTTGCTCCACACAATGTTGCAATGGCTTCTGCTACTTCATCCTTCCACAGATGGAAAGGTAGACCTAGCACGCGCACTTTTACTCCATCCATCACCGAGGATTCCTTCGAGTTTGATGAAGAAGACCACCTGAAAATGTTCACCGACCCCAGTTTATCTTGTACACATACTGCCTCAACTTCTGGCTTATTATCCAGGGGATCTAACAGAGCTTTGCACCTCTCAAAAGGAGTTAATACATATGTGATCGTCATCCTTAATTGTTTTGTCACCAAATCAGCAACCTCCTTCCAGTTTCTACCTGGTTTATCGACTTCAACAATAAGTTTATTGGACCACTCTCCTGCTGCCACTGATGTTAATAATGCTGCTCTATTACCATCTTGCACTAAGGTAGGGGCCATTTTGTTGGGAGGCTCAAAGTTCACTACTGTCTTCAGGGGAGCCTCTCTTACCTTCTTTTCTGAACCTTTTTCCTGTCTCAACTTCATTCTAGAGATAAATTCTCTCAGAGCCTTGACTATTTCTATCCATCCTTGGCTCTTCCTCCCTTCTGGAAAGCAACCCATCTGCTTTCTAGCATTATCATACTTCTCTGATAGTGCTATGAAGAAACCTTTGTAGTTCTTCCTGCTTTCCACCACATATCTCCTTCCCATCTCTGTTAGAAGTTCCTTCCAACATCTGTCCTTTCCTTTTGCACTCGCTGCAACTACAAACTCTATGAACCATTCTACCACATTCAATCCTACCAACAGCACTGTAGCCAGCTTATCCTCCCTGATTTTCAAGCTAATCTTCCCTCTGGTTCTTAGTTCTTCCAGCAGAAAACTCTTTGCTTCCACCTTGAGATGCCTTCTCCATCGATTAGCCTCCACAAAGTTCTCCATACTCTCCTTCCCTTTCCTTTCTAATTCAAGTCTTTCTTGCTCTGGCAAATTGCATTAATCAAGAGAACAAAAGTTGGAATTGGCAAACAATTAATACATTGAACCCTGAGAACGTCAGGACGAGATTTTATTCATCGGACCTAAATCAACTTCGGAGGATAAATTCATTTGGGGGTTAGACATGAAGGGAAAATCCACTACTAACTCAGCCCATAAATTGCTGACTTACCAAAGATGAAGTCTTTCTTTGGATCCTCATGAATGGAAGACTGCCGGTAGCTCGATAAAGCCTTTCCGGCATCAAAGGGATTGGAATAGAACCTGATTGCCCATTGTAGCCTTGAGAATGAAGAGGTCGACCATCTTTTTAAGAATTGTGGCTTTGCAAATCAAATTTAGATGGCAATAAACCTGAATTACCCTGCTCCAAATGAGCATGATGGAACAGTTATGAATTGGTGGCTTCAAATGGTTGAGACAAATATGTAGAATACATTCAATAGCTATTAGTCAATAATTGTTAATATTATGCTGGCATTATGGAAAACTAGAAATATGAAGGTATTTGAGAAAAAAGATAGTGGCCCACTGGAAGTCATTGAGAAAGCTTGGAATATGTTCATAGAGAAAATGGAGACAAATGAAAACAAAGACCTGGTAACCATTCAGCAGTATATGCCAGTGTTCAGAGAACCAAACTGGGCATCCACCTGGAAAAGGGAGAGGTTCATGGGTCAGAGATTCAACTGGGGTTGAACCATGATGGCATAATATACATATACATAAATACATACATACATATATATATGTATGTATATAATTATATATATGTATATAATTATATTCTTCTATAACATTTTAGTTTCAATCTTTTATATTAAAAATTAAGATTTGAGGCTAAAAAAGGTGTTTTTTGGCAAAAATAGTGCAAGGCGCCTTCGGCCCCTTGGGAACACAGATCTCAAAATGTTAGCCAAAATTAAAAATGAAAAAGAAAAAGGTCACACCAATCAGACATCTGAGCACAAAACTATGGCCTCTAGAAGTTTGAATTTGTGTTAAAAAAAAATTCAAAAAATGGCTGGTTTTCTAAAACTGAGACCAGTTCACCAGTTTTCCGGTTTGACAAGCTGGGTCAGCAGTTTTGGCCGGTTTTTTACCCAATCTGGTTATGGGGCATGACCAAACCAGCTAGGGGCCAGGTCACAGTTCAACCAGGCCAACTGGCCGGTCCGGTCCAGTTTTCTAAACACTGGTATATGCGATAGATCAAGTGGAATCTTCCTACCATTAAGAGCTAAAGATCAATTTTGATGTTTCAGATAGCACTGCAAGGAACCAGTTTGGAGAGACAATAAAATGGACTACAAGGTACTTGGGGAAACCACAATCAATGTTTGCAGAAGCTTGGGAAGATAGGAGTAACACTTATAATGGCCAGGGTGAGCAAGTGTACCATTTTTTTCTTTTCTTTTTTTTTTTTTTTGTCAGCAGCAGGTATAACAGAATTTGGATCAATGGAGACTCTAAATTGGTCATGAACTGTCTGAACAAGAGATCTATACCTCGTTGGAATATAGAATACCTTGCATTAGACTACTTCAACATCGCACGTGAGGCTGGCATGGATATCAAATTTACTTATGTTTATAGAGAAGCCAACCAGGCTGCTGACTGGCTGACCAAAACTGATTATAGGTCTAGTAGTTTTGTTGAATCCAATTACGTATTACCTAAAAAAAGCCGATTACCCAATGTTGGTCCCATCCATCTGGGGTCTTGGAGGGGTAAACAGCCATATAGATCGGTTTTCTTCTCGGCCCCTAGTTCATCCGGGTTTTTTATAGTAAATGAAATTTCATTAAAATAAAAAGAAAGACAAATATATTTCAGCCGTTGTCAAAGACATTGTTGTTAAAGCAGAGCCCTAGATTCCCCATGTTCAACAGCTACAATCACGACTACACCCAATAGAGAAAGAAAAATCAATAAAAAAAAAAAAGCTAAGCTGCGAAAGCTTACCAAGCAAGACCAGTTAGATCATGGTACCCATCCAGCAAAGAAATAACTGCACGAACAGGACTAAGCAATCCTTCCCCATCTTCATTACTTCCAATCACTCCCACTGCATCTCCATTTGCATCCAATTGCTCCAACTCAGTCTCCAACCTCACATCGAGGCCTACATCTTTGTCTACCTTATCACTGCTTGCAGTATGAATTGAGAACGGTCTAAACCACATAGAGTTCGGAAGCCCGATCAAACTCGCATTCATCCATGGCTGGGATCTCTCTATTAAATCGGATTGACCGATGGGGAGAGAAGGGTAAGAGACGATGACTGAGTTAGGGTTTTGGGAATGGATCGAGCGAACGAGAGGGAGTGAAGGAGTGAGCAGTCGTCTGAATCGGCGAAGATCGTGTAGGAGTTTCGGTTTTCCAATCCCCATAGAGAGGCGAGGCGACTCTTTTCCCACCCTGGGAATTCCCGACAAAAAGTGGATGGCGGGATTCCGAAAATGGAAAATGACGCAGCTGCCAGCCTGCCACTGATTGTTGTACTTGTACACGAGTTGGGATCTGCTTATAACAAAAAAAAACTGTTCCAACATCAGCGGTTTAAAGTTGTGGACCGTTGGTGTGATTATCGATATCAATATTTACATCGATTTAAGTTGTATTTACGGATCAACAAATAGGGATCAAATTATGGGTAAACTACAAAAACCTCTCTTAACTTTCTGACAATCATAAAAACCTCCCTATAATTTTACTTAATAATAATTTCCTTTAAATTTTTAAATAATTTGACAAAAACCTCCCTTCCCTCAAATACCTATTTTACCATTTTACAAATTAGTCTGGGTTATTTTTACTGAAATTATACCCTTGTTGACATATTATATGCTCTTTCCTCTTTGGTCGACCTCTTTACCCCTAAACTCCACTGTTTAAAGTACTTATGTTTCATATCTTACATTTTATTTGTGTTTTTTACATGAAACTTCATCAAAACCATGTAAGCAAAAGCCAAGATGAGAGTTATTAATGAGAATGGGGACGGTGGAGAGGACATGACCGTCCCTACACACCACCAAACCCATTATTCATCTCTTTCTTTTCTTCTCCTCCCTCATCACTACCCCTATACAGTACTAAATCGCCCCCATACAGCCCGAATCTCCACTATCAGTAATACAACACCACTGTCACAACCACAGTTGGAATACGACTGGATTAATTTCGTGTTCTCAGCGTAAAAAGAGAAAGCTGGATTAATTTCATGTTTTTTATTGGAATACAGCACCGAACCACCCCTATATAGTGGTGGTTCCAATGGTGATTCGCAGTTCGGTGTTGTGTAGGGACGATGAGGAGGGAGGAGAAGAAAAGAGAGATCAAAACAAAAACTTAGCTTCTTGATACCCATCAAAACTAAAACCTTTTTGAGGAATCCCTCTTTAAGTTCAATGAGGCATCTTCAAACATGATTACCATGAGAGCGCCCTTACCATGAAACAATTCATGATGAAGAGAGATCATTTTTTTACGGCTACAGGTGGGGAAAAATACTATTTTTGATAAGATCTATTAGCAAAAATAGATTTCTAAAAACAACCAAATCAACAGAGGGAAGAAAATCATGTTAGAACTAGCCTTCCTCCTCCCAAAAGAGAAATAAAAGAAGAGTTCGTTATAATATCCAAATCATCAGTTAAAACAAAGAGATACTTGAACAGAATGATGCCCATCAATCATGAAATATACAATGAAGAAATATGAAATTTATTTTCATGAAACCCACCCATTAGTAGGCAAACAAAATTTGAGTTGTTAATACTCAAGAGAGCAATAAACCGGGAAAAAATTAAAACAAAAAAAAAGAATGAGAAACAAGGGTTTTCTTCTTTTGGGTTCTTTGAGTAATCATAGGTGAAGGCAACGGACAACGACCCTGTCTTCCAAGCAAAAACATTTAGAAACACGATGAGGAAAAACCGTCGAATGAAGAAAATCTCTCATTGAACTACTGGTCCTCTACGCACATGCACATACTCATTTGCCCCAGTGCTAGAGTCCTTAGTATTTGCCTCTACAAATGGATCAAAGGCAGTAGGAATATAAATGTCGAGTTCAGACATGAACCTTGGTTGTTGAAAGTGGAAGACAACGAATGGAGGTTCTTTTACGTTATAATCACAAATACTAAGAGCTTATCAGAATTAGGGTTTTGAAGTTGAAGAAGAAAGAGGTTGATGGGAGAGGAAGATGGGATAACATGCCTACAGGGGTATTTTGATAAAAATAGATGGAAATAAATTTGTAAATGGGTAAAATAGGCATTTGGAAAATATGATTAATCGATTTAACATTTTCTGTCATGGTTATTGATGGAAATGAGGTTTTTGTCAAATTATTTAAAAATATAGGGGAGGTTTTTTACTAAAGTGAAACTATAGGGGAGGTTTTTGTATTTTACCCTCAAAGTATTTATTTACAATTTACATTGTAAACAATCACTATAAATATTGACCATCGAATTTGGATATGCTTTTCACAAAGCTCGTCTCACACCGACCTTACAGCCACATCCCACCCTGTATTTGGAATATCTCCCCATAAATAATAAAAACAAATATGGGAGATGTTCTTGATGTGCGGCCAAGACATACTGTGAGATAGGTGTGAAACGCATTCTCTGAGGAGCAGATCCAAACTCCTGACCATCTGGATGTCTCTTATAAATACTAAAACGGAACGAGATCTACTCCTCACAGGCACATTTATTTTGCATTGGGAACATCTCCCGTGAATAATAACTTACAAGTACGGGTGATATTCCCATTCCCAATGCATGGTAAGATGTGTGTGTGAGATTGGTGTAAGGCGCCCTGTGTGAGGAGCAGATCCAGTCTCTACTGAAACCTCTAAATGTCGCATCAAATTGCTAGCGAATGAAATATTAAAATGTCATATGTATCCTTGCTACTTTTTCAAATTTTCGAAGTAATAGAATCCAACACTACTATAGTGATTGTTGACTCCATTTGAGATAAAACAGTCCTTTACCAACCAATGGCTCTATCTACCTTTGCCGATTTTCGTTTCTAGATCCTTAGAAAGATTGAAAGGAAACATTACGGATAGCAATGACTTTATTATAAATTGATAACCATGAATTACTAACGACTTTGGTATAATTTTTATTTTAGGGAACCAATTTGGTATAATCAAGTCTGAATAGGGAAGACTTGATTATATAGCAATAACTACTGTCCCTGTCATTTGGTTTGGGCAAGGGCGGAGCCATGTGTTGGTGGGGTTTTTGTCCCCCCAAACTTTTTATTAAAACTATCATTTATATAGTTAGCGAGTAGAAGCTGGGTTAAAAAGAGTAAAGTGGGAAAATTTGAAATTAAATGTTAAGGATCATTCTTTAATGTTCTTCCAACTTTTAAAATTAAAAATATATATATATATATATATATATATATATTTATTTTTCCTAAAAAAAAATCTCTAATAGACCAAACCTTTCCACCCCATTTCTTTTAAAATCCTACATCTTCTAAACTTCTACTCCTTGTTTCATTTTCTTGTTTGACTAGGCCCCCAAAAAGAAAATCCCTGACTCGACCATTTGGGCCTCTCCTGCTGTTGCTGTAATTTCAACTTCTTTCGCGGTAATAAGAAATTCTTGGAGTGGAATCGGACTCATTGGCTGTGATTGAGGAAGTTCCTCATCCAACTTTAGAGTCATTAAAGCCCCCCTCCCTCTGATTCATAGATGCACAAGATGGCGACCTATGTCAATTAGGAAAAAACTTTTACATCATTCTTGTTCTTTTCAGGGGTGCTTCTTTGCCATCTTAGTACCTGTCCAGTTGTCCTGTCATTCTTCCAAAGTTGAACTTTGAAGTCACAAAGTTGTCATTCTCCACTATGATTAACGATGGGAAAATCACTACTAATTTTCCTGAAATTTAAGATAAATACTTATATCTCCCCTGTGATTTTTTAAACGACTTAAACCTCCCTTATCATAGTAAGTAACCATTATATTTAACGGAATCAATAAAAAGACTTCGTTGCCCTTCATTATTCTTTAATTAAAAAAAAAAAAAAAACAACAAAGAACCAGGGCGGATGCCTCTATTGATAAATGAGGTATAAATCTTCTAACCCCACAACATGAACCCAACAACAACAATCGGATCCTTCCTTTGGGCTCCTTCGCTTTGTTATCATCGTTTATGGGTTTGAATTTGACGGCAATTGAGCGGAGAGATTGGTGAAGGTAAAGAACAGGTTTCAGGTTTGAGTGCTTTAATCATGGTTTTCAAAACCGAGAATCGGTTATATGATTAATTCTGTTTTTCTTAAAACCGTTGATTTGGTCAATAAACCACTGAACCGGTCAATTAACTATTCGAACGATTTTGATCATTTTTCATTTTATTTTTTAATTTTTTGTCAGAACGGACTGGACCATTTGAACCGATAACCGGACCCCTGACCGGTTCAGTTTTAAAACCCATGATTTTAACAAATGTGTTGAAGTGTTAGAGTTCAAGTGCAGGTGTAGAAGTCTGCATGGACCGCAAGTTTTGAGACTATAACAGGATATGAGACCGGACCTGCTCCTCACACCTGGCATCTCACAGGCGCCTCACACGTACATCCCATCATGGAAATAGTGCTTTATTCTGCCCTTTTAAATTGAAATCGAAAGGATTTAATAATGATTTGATAATCCTTTTCTTAGTGCAAGTGAAAGTTGAATAACATGATTTTATTAATTGAGAAAAAAAGCTATTACTAAAATAAGGGCCTAGGAATTGTAAAGGGTGGAAATTCATGGAACAATTTGGTGTTAGTTTGTTCCAAAACACTGGCCGTCTTCATTGTTCCAGAACAGTGGTGCTCTGAGGTCAAATTTTGTTCGGTAGTATGGGAGGTTGGGGTTATTATGCTGTAGTGGTGTTAGTGCTCCACCCCTTGGTTTTTCATTGCAAATGCAGGCATACTTGTTATGTGAAATTATCTTCTTTTTCCCTCCAATTCTTAGATTGATACAAAGAAAAGATGGGACTTGAGAATAGAAGTGTAAATTGGGCCGTGCTGCCCGTAGTCCAGTATGATTGTACGGGCTGATGAGCTATGCTGGGTATGGGGTTTCAGGTCAGCAGGCCGGTCAGCATATGTATATATATATTATATAATTTATAATTATATAATAATATATAGTATATAATATATTAATAAAATAAATATTTTTTCAATTTTATTATACTATTTTATTTAATTATTGTATATATAAGTAATTGTATACAGCAAAATTCATATAAAATTAAAATTTTAAGTTTTTTTTTTAATTTGTATAAATAAATAACTTTAATCTGATCTACGACCTGGCATGGACTCAGGTCATAGGTCGTATCGGATCGACCCCTCAAAATATCCCAAAGAAGAGAGACACAGCCTGAAACAGCCCATGGGCCAGCAGGGCCTGTTTTACACCTCTACTTGGGAGATAAAAACAGACGATTCACCAGAATTTTTTA